CTCAGTTTAAAACAGACTTGTTTTCCCCCACCTAGCAAACTCAGTTTAAAACAGATTTATCATTTACTTAACCCTAAACCACCTTCATAAAATCTGACCAGATAAAAGCTCGATTTGATGTACATTATGTACATTATGTGAGATCTCGAGAAAGAAGCACAAATACTTCCTTACCCAATCTGCGGTCTGCCCTGCCTCGAGGCATAATTATTATCGTCGGTGTCCCACTCTAACTGTGTATCCATGTACTGGTCGAACACTTTCTTTCTTTCAAATTATGTTATTCACAACCGTAACCACAACTGGTGATACGATAATATGTAACAAGAACACACTATACAGCATTTCGTTTACTTCAGGTGGATAATAAGAGAAAAATTACCTTTCCTTTCCACTTTTCTGAAAATCAGTGTTCACACATAATATACACAGTGAGAGTCGGACATCGAGATATGAGATACAGTGTTTGTATAAATCTCAAACCGCGACACAGTATAAAGAGATGTCAGTATTCGATATGAGACTTAGACAATGGTCAATAATTGTAAGGTGGGGTGGGGGTGGAGTGCGTTCCAAAGTTTTAAAAAGCAGGGAGAAAAGCATAAATTATGGTTAGGGGAAATTAGAAGCAGATTAAACGGGGTTGTTTGGGAAAATATAAAGCAGGGAAAGGCAAAGATATGCATTTTTCAGGAGAGTGGAAAGTGTACGATCGATGAAGACTGTTGTGTGAACCTTGCAAACATTTTTGTATGGCAAAATGAAGCCGATTGAACTTCTGAATCTGGAAACTGACAAAATGTCTTAATGTTACATGATTCTTATTCTGACTGGTTATCTTTTTTGTCTAAATAAGAATGGTTAGGCAGATAATTTTGCTTCTGATTAGACTTAAAGATGAGATAAGAAAAGTAACGGGCCATGAAGTAAAAACAATCTACTCACATGCTTGTCGCCTGAAGGTCTGCTCAGCACGCGAGTCTCTCGCCGTAGCTCCGCCCTCTGGCTGGCCACGCTCTCCGGGCCCAATGTCCGTCGGCGATCTAGCAGAAAGACAGAGTAGTTGCCTCTGAAGTTCGCAGACCCGAAAACAAAGTAGGAGGCCATGCACACACACACAAGGCCACCAATTAAAATACACACTGACAGTCATGCAAACACACAGTTTGACGAATCATAGAGCCTTGTACGACTCCGCCCTCTCGAGTCATATCATCCAATCAGTCCCGAGAAGTAAGTCACATCCAAGGCAATCATGGGACCACCAGAAAAGATGTTTAAAGCACTCTCGGGGAATAGAGCTATGAAATATCAAGCCACGAATTCCAAAATGACATAAACACTGCAGTTATCAGCGAATGAAGCACTCCTCATATCTAGGCGTTTTTGCACCCTCCATTAAAAATTGATTTGAATTGTTCGAGAAATTCTTTAACAACCGTGGTTATTTTTTCCCGGAAGAATAATGCCCTATGAGAAAAATATTGGATCACAAAGGAGGGCTGTAAATGTTCTACACCTTCATCAACACAACTGAGGTTGCAAGAAGGTGGACTGCCTCGGCCCTGCCTGCCAGGACCGGCCCAGACAAAGCAGGATAAAACATCCCAACAGAAGACAGGGGTACTTGACGAAATAAACTCCCCCACGAAGGAACACAAATCACGTCTTCTGCTCGAAACATTAAAAGAACCAAAATACTACATCACAGACACCGGGTCACTCTGCGAGACAAAGAATGGGATCAGGATTTTTTTATTTAAAAAAAATAATTTTGTTTTCAAACTGAGCACTTTGTCTCAAAAATGG